CAAAGACTTCTCACAGGACTTCACATGGTCCTCCTCTGTAAAGCTGACTGAGGAACAGCTCCTTTCCCTGTGCCTGAGCCTAGGGCTGACTCCTCAGGAGGAGGTGTGAGACCCCTCTGCTTCCATGCCCATGCAGGGAGCAACTCCAGGATCCTTTTGCAAGTAAACCTTTGTGCCTTTGCTGCTGATGTTTTTCTTCCCGGTCTTTAAGTTACAGGTACTTCATCTGGAATTGTCTGTGGATGTCGGTGAGATGTTTGAGCGTTTGAGTCATAAGTTTTCCTTTTTTTTTTGTCAATGCATTAATGAAGGCTTTGGTGAAACATCGTTGGTTATTGAGTCAAACCGCTATGCCTGGACTAAATTGTTTGTCATGGATTATTAAGACCAGAAAAGGAATGTGTTTTCTAGGCTTATTTTATAAGATAGGTACCTAAGACTCAGGCATAACCTGTTCTGTATCTCCTTATATAGAGATAGGAGAGTTCTCATTGCCATCATATAGGTGGTAAAAAATAAGACTTTATTTCTTGTATTATTAGCCCAGTATACCCAGTGTACATTTGCTACAAATAATGTAGATATGAAGAAAAACCTTGAACTGCAGATGAGTTTTAATCCTTATGTTAATTTCCTGATTGGTGTTTGTGGCCTCTCTAAATGGTGCTTTGCTCAACTAAACACTGGCTTGATTAACTCAAATCTCAGGAGGCTGAGCTTAGCTAACAGCCATTGTCAGTATTATATTTAACTTGTTTGCTTTATATACTATGCAAGTTTTTCACTCTAAAAATAGCAGCTAAAATGTTGTGGGGGGAACAGAACAAAACATAATGGTTTAAGAGAGTCCACCAAAATAGAGCATTATTTTGCTGTGAAGGCTTCATTCTCCCTCACTTTTGTCTTCCTTGTCCTTTACAGAAGGATAGGTAAGTTTCATTCTGAGAAGCTCAAGATGCCCAGTAGGCAGTAGGAGCGAGGACTGGAATTGCAAGGACATCTTGCAGGAAGTGACATCCCCAGCACTCAGTGAGGTGAATAAAACCAACCATTTCACCATGCTTTTGAGATATTAGTAGATTGCACATAGTGTCAAAGTCTGTCTGTGGAGAGATTGACTTAATATTTATAGTTACAGCTCCTGCCTGCACTCTTCTTTCAAGAAGGTTTTTGGGTTTTTTCCCCAGCTTCTCACCCTGTTGTCCAGAAGCTATATGTTATTAACTTGCTTTTGGTTACTGGTAGGTTAGACTACACAGGAAAGGTGGGTGGAAATCCTTCTTTCTGAGAACTCCTTGAAGGATCAGGCTTAAAATGAAGTGTCTGTGTAAGAGGTCATGGAACAAATAGACAACAGGCAAGAGCAAGGTGCCCAACCATATGAAGCCCCCAGGGACAGTGCTGCTAACCACGGTTTCTCCCTTCTCACTGAAAGCTCTTACCTGTGGACTGTAAAGCTGCAAATGTGTCCCTACTTTTTAAAGAAGGTTCTAGGGGAAATCTGTGGGCTGCACACCAGGAAGTTTGACCACTACCAACTAAATTAGTAGAAAATATGGCAAGGTAGAATAATTTGACCCCTCTGTAAATATTATATAGCGGAGAAGGACCAATGTGGCTTTTGTAACAGAAAGTCATGCCTTCTTAAAAAGTTGGAATTCTCTGAAGGTCTAAATAAGCATGCTGAGAGGTCTGGCTTACAGTCTGTACTCAGATTCAGGAAGCTTTTAAACAGAAGCCCTCACCTGAGCAGCCCCTGACATAGTGAGGGAGTTCCCTGTCATAAACAGTTGGCAAAGACAGGAAAGAGGATGTGAGTCAATGGGCAGCCCTCATGGTGGCTGGAGGTCACTATTGGGGTGCTGCAGGTAGGGTTTGTAAATTACCTGAAAACAATGTTTTCAGCTTGCTTTTTGTTATTTGAGCTGGTAAAGAAGAGAGCAGAGGATGATGAATTGCAAATGTAAATCGATTCATGTGAGTGGGGAGCAGTCCTTATTTCACACAAAATGAGTGAGTTTTTGGAGCCATAATGACTAATTCTGTGAAGCTTTCTTCATCAGTAGAGTCTCCATTTGGACAGTTTTACACAGGCTAAGGAAAACCATATAAGCTCACAGTTACTAAGTACACAGAAACTGTCTGGTTCAGAAGGTTCTGGTCTAGAGACACAGAGGATGTGTGGAGAAGCAGCGTGTGCTTATTCTGTTCTTCCCTAGGCTCCTGCTTTTGACCTGTGCTGAAGAGCAGGGTACAGGGAGAGGTGTCCTTTGGTCTGACCCAGTATTGACCATCTTATATTCCCATGTAATCTCTGTACAGCTGGGAATTGGTATGAGGAATTGTCTCTCCAGCAGTGGCAGTGTGTTCTTATGTACTCTTCTTTATCATGCTATCAGAAAGATATATGTGTGTGAGGAAAACTTTGTAGCTGCAAGTATCTGGACCCCTGAGCCAAAAGTACAATTTGTTTACAAGGAAGAAAATCTAGATAGAAATGAAGAGTTGCAGAATTTGTCAGTAGACTTAAATGAGAAGAGATGGTGTCTCTTACTTCCCAGATACATAGAGCTTGGGTAGTTGATATGTACAGTCTTCTACAGTCGCTTTTTTTCATAGGCAAGAAGGAATTTGTATGTACAAGAAACATCCTTTATAGAAAGTGTAGATAGGCTTTGAAGCATAGAGTTTTGTGTTTTGTATCTTGGTATGAATAAGCAGGGAGACAAAAAAGGTGGACTGTTTTTTTTCTGGATTTCTGAGTTGATATTGCAGTGCCCTCATTCTGCATTTTTGCTTTTAAAGCAGTTGCATTTCTGTACGTGACCCATTTCTTATGACTATAAGGCAGTTTTCTACTGCTGTTTCTAATGAAAGTTGAAGATGCTGAGATCTGGGTAGGATCAGCCCATAGCAATGAAATTAAGAGTGCCCTAAGGCTGCCGGTGTAACATTTAGATGAGAGCACTTGCAGCTTTTAATAATTAGTTAATTGGAAAGGCAATGGGTGCCAGGCAACTCAGATCCTGTTTCTGATGTCGCATTCCATAAAAGCACAAATTACCAAATGAGTTAATGCTGCACTCAAATTGGCCATGTTTTCAGCATGTCTTTATGTATGCCTGATGAACTGGAAGTTCCAGTTAATGCTGTCAGAGAAGCCTGGAGGTACAGTATTCAGTGTGAAGCATTCCCTTGACCGAGTCTTTTCGAGGGTCGGTCTGATATGGGGAAGTGTTCCTCCTCAATCCCTTCCTCCCTGCAACCCTCTTTCCTATTTGCACCCTTTTTCCTAGACAGGACTTGCATTTGCAAAGGCCACCAGGCAATTTTGTCTGAGGAGGGTGGTGACTTCTGATGAATTTTTAAAGAATTCCCGCCAGGTGAAAGCCGCAGTTTAGAGCAGAATACCTGGCATGGAGCTGGCCACTCTGTGGAAAGTCTCTGACATCACTGAATTACTGCAATAAAGAATTAGATGTTAAAAAAAAAACCAAACCCAAAACATTCCTCCTCCCAGCCAGTCTTGCCAATGTGATTTTTTTTTTTCTGCCTATTTTTATATGTTTGTGTCTGGATTCTTCTGAAGTGAAATGTAACACTCCTGGGGAACTGGCACTAGTGATCCAGAGTGTAGCAACGCTGAGTTTGTTTCGGTGTAGTTCAAGGAAACTATTGCTGGTGGATCTGTCTTTGTGAGAAACATCAGAGCAAGATAAAGATTGGTTTTGATGGTGAAGGTTTTTGTACTAATTTTTAAAAGCTGCTGATCTGGTGGAAAATGAGTGTGAACGGCTACTTAATTATGTATATACATCCCTTGCAGGTTCAACTGAATGCAGGGTTCTTTCTCCGTTTCCATGGAACTTTTGCTTTTTTCCCCTCCTATCTACATGAGGTTGAATTTCAGAACTGATAAGGCATCTTCTAAAACCTGGTCTTTTCGCTCTCTCTTGTAAGTCCTTTTTTGAGGCCAATGGGGGAATGTTAAAAGTTTGGTTTCAGCTTTTGGTGCATTCAGTATAAAAGTGCATTCCGCACTATTCTCATAGCCTTTGTATAAAAAAGGCTCAAGGTCATCTCCAGCAATGCCCCAGCTGGGAGATGGTCTTCTGCTAGACCAATTGAAAACTGCAAATTATTCTTGAGTTTGAACTAATGACGCACTCTTGGTATCTTGATCTCCAGCTCCAAAATCTCTTAGCCTATTTCAAAGTGCTTTATACAGGGATTAATAAGGCTTTTTCTCATTCAACAGGTATAAGGACTGCAGCACAGAGAAAGAAACCTCAACTTTTTGAAGCTCGCATGGTAAATTGGTGACACACCTAGAAGAACAATCGCTGGGGACGTAGGTGCCTCAGATCCATACTGCTGCTGGGAACAGACTGCTCTTCATCCTTCTGGTGAATTTAGAGCTTGTTTTGTGGAGGCTCTAACACAAACATTTCTACAGCGTGATAACCAAGTTTGTCTTTGTGACCGTAAATCGGACATTTCCAAACTCAAATGTTCTGTGTCCTGTGGAGTTTTAGATTCTGATCTGGTTACGTTGCTGTCTAAAGTGATTGATACATGACTTCTGTGGACTTTCTCATTAACACAATTGTCCTAGTTTTTCTGTCTCCTTAACAGATTAGTTATAGGTAAAAAAGTATGTAGTACTGGTTCATCTTTGTTTTCAGTTTCTGAGTATCTCAACCGAACAGCAAACTTATTTTTACTGCTACGTGGAGCAGAGTTGCTTTTTATTTGCAGTCCTTAAAAGATGAATACTCAAACCGTAGTTTTTGATTTGCTTATCAGTAGAGCCCAGTATTTGTTTAGCCTGTTGTAGGCACAGCTAAATCTGTCACCTGCTTCTGTAGTTTGCCTAGGTTGTCCAGTTAGTTATAGCTTCCAGATTCATTGTGGTGGAGAGATGTGTAAAAATAAGTTTGTAGAAATGAGTTACTTTTTTTTTATGTTCCTAATTATGTTTATATCAATTTTCTAGAACTATGCCAAGAAAAAGAAAGCTATTGGCTCAATTAAGTGCTCTCCAAAGCAACTCCAGCCTCCCTCCTTTTGATGGCTTGCAGAACCTCAACACTACGCCTGATGGGGATTCTCCTCCAAAAAGCAGCAAATATTTTGTGATAGAGAAAAAAAATTCTTCCCGGCTAGCAGCAGATTTTTTCAACCAGCCCTGTATTAGTCTAGCCAAGTCCTTTCTGGGACAGGTAAGACATGAACACTGAGATTACTGTACTGGAGCATGCGCTAGCTAAAAACTTAGTGTAAAAGGATGAAATTCTTTCTTTGCCATTTGACTCCAGGGCTTTTCTATTTTAAGAATACAGCTCTCATTCCTTCTCTTGTTAAGTTCAGTGGAATTTAAAGACTAGTAGCCAGATCTATTTTGGATGAAGTCAGAGGAGCAATTTTTCAGGCTTAGTTTACTGTCACATTTCAGAATTAGTTTTTTGTGGAGTTTTTCTCCCTTTTTTCTGGTTTACTGAAATGTACTTTCCTGTTTGTGGTTTGAAGGTTGTTTCAGGCCCATTATTTTCCTTTCAGGTATTCCTTTATTTGTTTTTGGCTCTTGTTTAGCCCAGTAGAAAGTAGTGCTCTGCAGTCAGCAGCATCTCTGCCTCCATTTTACTCTTGTGATGCTAAAGGCCTTTGGCCTTTCTTGAGCAGTATCCACTGGCACAGTGTACTCAAATATTTCATTCTTATCTGCCAGTTCAGCAGCCTGCTTGGTACTTTCTTTAATGCTGCCCTGTATGCTTTCAAAGTTATATCTCATACTACCTCCTTTTATTTTTGCTGTTCTGAATAACTTCATATTGTCAGTCCACATGGTGAGCTCTTGAATGATCACCTTTCTGAGATTATTAACACAAATATGCCAGGCAGCACAGGCCATAGAGTGGAGATATCTAGGACTCCACAGTCCCACAGTTTAACTCTCATCACTCTGAAAACTACTATTCCTACCTCTTGTTGCAGAATTTTCAAGACATTAGTTGTTCCTTAAAGGAGTTGCTCCCTTATCCTGTTGCAGAAATGTTGAGGAATCTTTAGACCTTGTCAAAAGCCTCTGGAAATCAGAGTGTGGGAGATGAAACATGTCTCTTCTGCTTAGTGAGCCCATCAAAAAACTCTGACTGTTTCCATGGAAAGGCGTTTCTCCAGTGTTTTCGCTATAAAAAGTTCCAGTCTGGGATCTCCTAAACCCAACTGCAAAATGGTCTTATCTTCTCTGAGTCTTTTTTACACCTTTATTGTCTGTAGCGTGAACAGGCTCTCTGGGTTCTCATTCGTTTAGATAGCTTCAGGAATTTGTTCCACAAACTGTTGGTTTTGGCCTGTCTTGCTGTGTCTAGCCCTTTTTTATTTTCTGAGGTTATTATCTTGCTTGTAATTGACGCCTTTGCTCTGCTTTTTAACCCTGCCGGGTTTTTTGGCCTGTCTTAACCTCTCTTTGATACATCATGTGTGTTTGTGATCTTTTATAGACATCCTGCTAGAGGCTTGCCTTTCCAGCGTTAACCTTTGGCTGCCTCTTTTAAGTTCTTCCTAAAAAGCTTCCTCACTTTATGTAGTTTCCCCTTTTTGCTGGTAAACACAACTCTGATAGATTATTTTTGGACATTATTGCTTGTGGAAAAACATGGAACTCTGTACTTCATGGTCGTGATACAAAGTTGTTTTTCAGGGATAAGTCTTTGGTGAAGACTGCATTTTGCTTTGGATCAGTTGGGGAGTTCAGTCTTTTCTTGTAAGAACCCCAGTTACTCACTCTGCAAAGCATCTGATGGTGTCTAAAACCCACAGCCTGTGTCCTGTGCTGCTGTGATATTTACTTGCTCTGCTTGATACCTGAAGTCTCCCAGTACTCCCAACATCCACATGTGTTCAGTTAGCCCAGGCAGATGATAATGGAGTCCTAATTGTATCTTTTTCCTGTTTAGGCCTAGAAATACAAGGCAGGTGATTTCTATGCTAATTTTAGATTTTCTTTAAAGTATAACCCCTAGTCTCCCATGACCCCGTCTAATCTCTCATTTTCTTAGCATTATAACTATAATGGTATTTTACTGTTTCATTTATTGTCTTAATTCTACCAAATTTGAGGGTTGCCTCGTATATTAATACTGCTTACCTTAAACATGATACTCAAGTTCTTAGAAACAAGTAATACTCCAGAACATACGTGCAATAATGACAATTCAAACTGAACTGTCATAACACCAAGATACATCCTCAATGAGAAATAAAAACCTCTATAAAACAGTTTACTATGAGGAATTCTGAATGATCACCATTTTAAAACTGTTTAACTGTGAATATTTGGTGTGTCTGAAGAGTCGGGGACGTGCTTGCACACTTAAAATCTAACCGTTGCATTTCATCACAGTGAAAGAGAAATGTGGCCACACGGGTGTGCTTTTGGGGTGTTTACCGGCAGTTGCCAAACACCAGTGTTCTTCTGAAGTCACTGCGTTTTTCATAAAAATAATAAAGTGATCAGTTCCAAGAAATTGAGAAGTGCTGTAGGGAAACCATGATACGCTGGAGTTGCAACATTTGCAGCTGACTTCCGGAGCATCCGCACTGGACCAGGTCAGTAACTGCATTAGCAATCCAGCACAAACATCTCTTGGGAATTAAGCTTTGTTTCTTGAAGGCCATTTTTGCACCGCTGCTTTTCAAATACAGAAACACTGAATATACTACAATTAACCTGATAGCTGTTGCTTAAATGAGACTGTACTGCAGTATTCCTTAAACACACATTAAGTAAAATAAGAAGATTAGAAATTGGGTCAAGCACAAAAAACTTTGTACAAAAGTTAGTGTTTGTTTTATTTTTAAAGATTATCTTTTCATCATCATGTTTGTTTTCCTCACATCTGCTTTGTTTTATTTAAGGAGGTACCAGCAGCAGGGAACATGCTGTAATAACAGAGATCTGTTGTTGTCTTCCTGAAGCCAATTCCCAGCTCTCCTGCACTGCCCCTCTCTGTGGTGCAGCAAATACAGAAATAACATAGATGCTCCCTGTGGTCACGCTTGTCTCTACGGTTAGGACCTAGGGCTTGTTTGAAACATCTCTATGGAGAGAGACCAATCATAGCAGTGTTTAATTGTGCCACTGCCATTTTCTTCTGATCTAAAGAACATACATTCATGATGCTTCCAGGTTGATATTGGGTGCTTTTTGCCTTAAGCTTAGTGGATTGGGGTAGAGAATACAGAAAATCACCTCAAAACCAGCTCTGTGGGCTTTATTGTATATAGGATCATAAACTGGTTCTTTATGTTACTACCACATCTAGACACTCCAGGCATTTTGTGGGGTGAGTGACAGGTAGGAACTTCTTGTACCGAGCTCTGACCTGGACAGCAGAAGCTGAGAAAGTTCACGTTCGCTTACAGACTGGACTGCGAGATGGAAAGTATGTGGTACATCGGGTCCTTTTTTCTGACTTTTTTGTTTGCACAGCTCTTGCTGTCTGGTTATTTTGCAGAGGGTTGCTAACTGATGCACTCTGACCTCTCTTTCAGATTTTAGTTCGCAAACTTCCTGATGGCAGAGAACTCTGGGGGAGGATTGTTGAAACAGAAGCTTATCTGGGTGGGGAAGATGAAGCTTCCCACTCGAAAGGTGGGAAGCAAACTCAACGAAACGCAGCAATGTTCATGAAACCAGGAACTCTGTACGTGTATCAGATCTACGGCATTTATTTCTGCGTGAATGTTTCCAGCCAAGGTAAGTTGAGGCTAAAAGAGATTTTTAGTGCCTATAGCATGGGGCTGGTATTTCAGGCTATGCTTGCCATGTTGCAGTCACTTGTGAGCTCCCTAGAGGCTCTGTGAAGTCAATGACTTGCTGACAGTGTCCTTGGGACCTGGGTTTTGCCATCATGAGCAGTGTGAGTATGTAACTGTGGACAGGGTGTGCTCACTTTCAACGTGACGAGCAAGGCCTCTGTCCAGCTGCACAGTGACCAGCCTGGTGCGGTGCTGGTCCTGGCTATGAGCTCTGTGAGCCATTCAGGTACAGGAAAAAATAGAGGAGAGCCTTGATAGGATGGAGTTTTCAGTTTTGATGAGCTGGGCTGCTGCCTTATTCATGTGTTTCAGTGAACTTTGTTCCTTGAAAGTGGTGATGTAGAAGTAAATTTGCAGTCTAATGACAGCTTGAATCTTGGTGTCTGTTGTCATGACAATAAACTCTTCTGTCTCCTGCCTTTATCTTCAAAAGCTGTAAATGTTGGGGGAAAACAAAAAGGTCTGAGATGTCCTAAGCTTAAGGAGTCACTGCAGGAGCATTTTAGCTGCTGTGCTGTATCTTAAAACAAAAAAACCCAACCCAGATAAAAATATCCAGACTACTACAGAATCTTCAGTCTTCTTTTCTTATTCTCAGGATAATATAATCAACCCCTAATCAAATGGTTCTGGAATTTACTGAGACTCTCCTTCCACAGCTCCTCTTAGCATGCAAGTGTTACTTCTAAAATTTGGATTCCTATCTAAAATGGATTCCTATCCATTCCTATAAGAATGACAGTGTTTGCCTTGCAATAAAGCAAGGGTTAATTAGATACTTTGAAATGGCAGCAGGTGTTCTTAGATAATACTCATTTTGTTAGGAAAAATAAAAATCTCAACAATTTCTTTTCTTTTTTGTCATTTCAAAGATACAGGGAAAAAAAAAAAACCACCAAAACCCCACCAAAAAAACCAACCAAAACACCACTTGTATATTCCTAAGTGGAAAGGAAATGTTGTAGCAGTGACCATTAATCCTCAGGTTTTGGCCTTTGGACAGGAGCCACGCAGAGAAACAGCCAGGAGGGAAGAGCCCGCCTTTGTAAATGGAGGTCTAGAGTCTGGGGGATGAACACGTGTGAATTTCATTGCGTTGTCTCTGCCAAATCTGTTCAGATAATAAAAGCAGAATGTTCTTTTATTCAGGATGGGATTCTTAAGTGTTTGAAATATTAGAGATAATAATTTTTACTAAAAACAACAATGCTTAGCCTTTGAATTCTAGAAAGATTTCTTTGAAATTGATACATTAGGAAGTTTTCCCTTATATACCTGTTTAGTTTTGTAGCGAATCATTTAAAGAGCTCCCTGTTGTGATGGTTTTAGTTGGCTTTTTTTGTTACAAACATACTCCCCATTAGCGCGTCACACACGCAGCTTTGCTGACACCAAGCACAGCTGTCAGTGCCAGCTCTGGCAGGAACGGGCTGTAGTAAACAATAAGTAGCTACACGTGCTGTGTATCACAGATGCATCTTCCTTTGGTGTATTTGCCCATGTGCTGAAAGAGAGAATTTGAGGACGAATCATACCTGAGATGCTTTTCCCATCCTAACATAGGCGGAGAAGGATTGTCCTGTTTAGTCTGAGGGAAGCACTGAGGAAGTCATCTTTAGTGATGGCACTTGGGTGCCTGGGTAGAAGGCAAAAATGTTTCATTTTCTGGATAGGGGACAGGTAGTGGAAACTTTGTTTCACATCTGGCTGTGGGTGTGCAGAAAACAAGGCAACACTGGCAAAAGAAATGTGTCTTGTGTCTCAGTAGCACAGACCACGCTCTGCTTTTACAGCATGAACTTCTGATGTAATTGGTCTCATTATCTTTGTGCAGGGAATTCAATGGAAAATATCTTAAGTATTTCAGAGTGTCCCTGGGAATGCTGAGATAACCTGATTGACTGAGCAGCAGACTATGAAAGGAATACAAACATAGTCTTTCTTAAGGTGTCGCTTGGAAAGAGT